AGTGATGCCTGGGGTATGGCCAAGATGAAAGATGACTGCATTCTCATGATGACAGCTTAAAGACAGTCCTCAAGTTCACTCCCTTGTTGGCCACCTCCATTCAATCATTCATTCAGTTGTCATTTATCAGACACTTATTGTGTGCCAGGAACATAGGTTCTGATACAGAGATGAATGGCCCCTGCCCTTAAAAAAGTATTATTCTAATGGAGGAGACGGAAGGGGAAACAAACAATATGGTGGACTCTCATAAGGGCCATCACAGAGAAATACAGTGCAGAGGAGAAAGAGAGGGATAGAGAAAGTGGAGGGAATAAAACCTAAACTCTTGAATGTAGCACAAAAGGCCACTGGCTACCTCTCACCACTCCTCAGCCTTTGTATGTGAAGAGTAGACTATCTGAGCTGAGTTTCAGAGAACGAACAAGAGTTTGTAAAGAAACAGGAAAAAGGTGGGCGCCTGGGTGGCTCAGTCAGTTAAGTGTCTGCCTTTGGCTCAGGTCCTGATCCCAGGGTCCCGGGATCGAGTCCCGAGTCAGGCTTTTTGCTCAAGGGGGAGCCTGCTTCTCCCTCTCCCTGCTGCTTCCCCTGCTTGTGCTCTCTCTCTCTCTCTCTAATAGATAAATAAAATATTTTTAAAAAAGAGAAAGAAACAGGGAAAAGGTGTTATGGGCAGACTATATTTCCAAGGCAGTGAGGAGCCAATGGAGGGTTTTAAGCAGGCGAGTGACATGATTAGATATACATTTCAGAAAGACCACTCTGAAGAATGTTTGGAGAATGGATTGGAAGAGGCCATGAATGGCGGTAGGGAGATAGGAAACTGGTTTACCAATCTGATTGTAAAATTATCAGAGTCTGTACTAGGGCAGTGGAAGTGAAATAAAAAGGAAGAGAAGTCAAAAGATATGAGGAGGTAAAACCTACAGGGTTTAGTTATTTATTGAATATGGAGCATAGGAGAGCAAACAGGAAGGGGAAGCTCACGCCCACTCCCCAGATTCTTGGCTTGGGCAGAGGGTGGATGCAATACTGCACAGTGGGATAAGGGAACACTAGAGGAACAGCAGGTTCGAAAGCAGGAGAGATGAGATTGACATTCAATATATATGTATTTGGAGACCAGAAATGAGGTGTGGCTTGAGGATACAGCTTTGCAACTGTTAGTAACTGAAGCCACGGAATGGATGAGACTGCTCAGGGAGAGTTTCAAAAGTGATGAGAACAGAGAATGGAACCCTGAGGACTATCAACATTTAAGGAGGGGAGTAAGGCGCACCTGGCTGGCTCAGTCGGTAGAGCATGCGGCTCTTGATCTTGGGGTTGTGAGTTCAAGCCCCTCATGTTGGGTTTCCTTAATACAAAAAAATGGGGAGGGCACCTGGGTGGTTCAGTCGGTTAAGCGTCTGCCTTCAGTTCAGGTCATGATCTCGGGGTCCTGGGATTGAGCCCCACGTCAGGCTCCTTGCTCAGTGGGGAGTCTGCTTTTCCTTCTCCCTCTGCACCTCCCCTGGTTCATTCTCTCTCAAATAAATAAATAAAATCTTTTAAAAATTTTTTAAGGGGTGGAGTAAGAGCAAAGCATGAAGCAGTCAGAGGTAAGAGAGAGATCAATAGAGAAAAGAGTAACAAAAGTCAAAGGGCATTACATGGTCATAAACTAGGTTTTAGAGAAATATTTAATGACTTTTTAATTTTTAAAAGAATTTTTTAAGTTATCTCTACACCCAACATGGGGCTCGAACTCACAACCCTGAGATCAAGAGTCACATGCGCCATTGACTGAGCCAACCAGGGATCCCTTTAATGACATTTTTATTTTATTTTTTAAGGTGTTTTTATTAAAGCATGGGGACAGGACACATGGGCAGAAAGAGCTGCCTTTAATGACATTTTTAAATGATCAAGTTATAATGGGAAGTGAGAGAGGATATAAGATAATATTTGTTGCAGAGAACAGACTGGTGGTTGCCAGAGGTAAGAGATGGAGGGTGGATGAAACGGGTGGAGGGGATTAAAATAAGTAAGTCATGGAGATGTAATGTACAGCATAGTAACTGTAGGCAATTACATATTTGAAAGTTGCTACAAGGGTAGATGTTAAGGGGCACCTGGGTGGCTCAGGAGGTTAAACGTCTGACTCTTGATCTCAGCTCAGGTCTCGACCTCACGGTCATGGGTTCAAGCCCTGCATTGGGCCTGAACCAAAAAGAATATATGTATATATTTTCATTGAAAAATGACTGTAATGGGCACGTGGGTGGCTCAGTTGGTTAAGTGTCTGCCTTCAGCTCAGGTAGTGATCCCAGGGTCCTGGGATCGAGTCCCGAATCGGGCTCCCTGCTCAGCGGGGAGTCTGCTCCTCCCTCTCCCTCTGCCCTCTTCCCCAGCTTGTGCTTTCTCTCACTCTCTCTCTCTCTCTCAAATAAATAAATAAAATCTTAAAAAAAGAAAAATGACTGTAAGGTTTCACACCTGTTGGTGAAATTTGTTATCTCTGAGTGGTGGTGTTACGGACTACTGTAATTTTCATCCATATGATATATTTTTTTTGGATTTTCCAGTTTTTCCATAAAGAACATGTGTTCCAGGGGTGCCTGGGTGGCTCAGTTGGTTAAGTGACTGCCTTCGGCTCAGGTCATGATCCTGCAGTCCCTGGATCGAGTCCCGCATCGGGCTCCCTGCTCGGCAGGGAGTCTGCTTCTCCCTCGGACCCTCCCCCCTCTCATGTGCTCTCTCTCATTCTCTCTCTCTCTCAAATAAAAAAAAAAAAGCATGTGTTCCATGTGTAATTGGCAAACAGAAAAATTAATACAAAAAGGGAAAAAACTCAAAGGAGAAGAAAATGTCAAGGTGGGAGTGGTCAACTGAATCAAACACGTCAGAGGCAGCAAGACTTGTTCTGAGGGCTGTCCGCTGGATTTAGCAACAAAGTGACCGTAGTGAAGACTGTTTCAGTGGAGTAGAGAATGGGGGCAGAAGCCAGACGGGAGTGGAACCGAACCGTGAATGGGAGGTGAAGTGGAGACAGCAAGTACAGACACATCTTTCAAAAAACTCAGTTAAGAAGGAAAAGAGATAGGGCAAGAGCCCAGTTGAAGATACCATCCAGTTGGAGAATCCCACACCGTTTGGTGGCTTTGAGCGCCCTGAAGAGAGGTAGATTGAGAAGGTCTTCTGACATTCGGATTTCCGGGGTGGGGGGGTGGTAATAGCAGAGCGTGGAACTGGAAGCAGCAGTCAGCTCAGGGAATCAACGTCAGAAATTGCTCTTCGTGGCTCAGAGGCAAACTTCGTCACTCCAACTGAGCAGAACACTCCAGGGCGACATATGTGGCTATGTAATTTAGAATGCGGGTTAATTTTTGGAAAAGAGCTCCCCACTCCCCCACCCCCCCAAGAAAAAGCTTGGGATGAGTATGAAATCATCATGGGAAGTTCTCATGACTCATGTGATAACAGTCAGGGAGGGCCTCTTTATCAAGGTGCGGAGCTCGGTACTTTCTCTAGGAATAATGCCAAACCTCAGTGCATTCTAGGGCTCAACCCAGCCCCAGATCTGTGAGGTGAGACGTCAGCAGTGAGAAAGAGCAGTATGTAAAGCACGAGCTCCGATTCCGAAATCAATAACTGCTTGACATTCTGAAAAGCACCCTCATGCTGGCAAATCCAATGCCACTGAGCACCAATTTCCTAGGAGACAATGAAGTAGCTCAATCATCCTTGTCTTCTGTAGGACGAAAACAGCCAAAATGGAGACCTGGGCAGAGGATCTGAAACTTGTTTTACATCTGAAGCGGATGCTCCCACAGATTATAGAATCCTTAATCTGGATGGGTCTGCTTCTGAAGCTGAGGGAGGAGAGTCCTAGGGGTATCCAACTAGAAGAGGGTTTCACTTGAGGAGGCCCAGGGCAGCAAAGCCTTGGAGGAGAACCATAAGCTCTGAACAAAAGGCAAGGTGGGGGTGGAAATAGAAGTGAGATAAAACCTTTGCTTGGGAGGCTTGGGAGCAGGATTGTTCTGTTCAGGTGCAAGGAACGGATGAAGGAAAGTAGGTTGGTTAGAACGGAGACTGTTCCAGATGAAGATGTATTAGAGCTTACTGTTTTTTTTTTTAAAGATTTTATTTATTTATTCATAAGAGACAGAGAGAGAGAGAGAGCGAGGCAGAGGGAGAAGCACGCTCCCCGCTGAGCAGGGAGCCCGATGCGGGACTCGATCCCAGGACCCTGGGATCATGACCTGAGCCGAAGGCAGATGCTTAACCATCTGAGCCACCC